ACTTTGTAGTCACCACACCGTTGGTCAACCACAGTGGGCTCCATTAATGGGCAACAATGGCCATCACCCCATGAACATTATGCCTACTAGAGGAATCAAACTACTTTTCTCATTGGCAGATGGCCAACAAGACCGGCAATGAACACACTGCTGGCCAAAAACTCATTTGCCACCCACTAGGCAACACTGGCCAACACCCAGTCCCCAAGGGACATGATTGTTCAGCACCCAGTAGACCTCTCTCAAATACCACTGCAGGTCCATTCTCCACCAGAGGCTTAGTGACACAAAGCACCCAGTGGGCACCATGGCCAAGACAAGGGGCTCTGAGGAAAAAGGAAAACTAGGCATCGGCTGGAGCAGCCTCACCTCCAGGTGTCATTGGCCAGGTCGTAGCACTCCACAGTATCTGTGCAGTAGAGCTCCCCTGAGCTGCCCCCCAGGGCATAGATGAAATTACCAAGTGCCACAGCAGCAAAGTAGCTCCGTCCACATGTCATACTGGCCAGACGCTCCCAGGAACCATCCATAGGCTGGTACCTGGGTTTGAAAGGCAAAGGGGCAAGAGACAACCTGTTACCCACAACACCATGAGCTGATGTTGGCACTGCTGAGGGCAACAACCCACCTACAACTTGCTAGTCCCATAATGCCTTGGGACTTGGTCACATGGTCACCTTGCATGGGAATATCCCCTCCTTCTGGACAATATCAAACTCATAATGTTCTGGGGCATCTCCAGATAGATGCCTCCCACTCCTACTCCCAAAAAGCCTGTAATACCCCAGACTAGGAGGGCACCTCTGAGTCCTACACCCAACCCTTCCCAGAATGTCTTGGGGCCACTTGACCAGCTGCAATGCCACAATGTCTTGGATCCACAGGGCAGCTGTAACTCTAGCTCTAGCAATACATCCCACAATGTCCGGGTGCCACATGCCAAGTCCAAGTCCTCTGTAGCTCTCACCTGTAGACACTGGCTAAGGTGTCATGGACCCCGTAGTAGTGCTTTCCACCCAGGATGTAGAGGTTGTTGCCCACCACAGTTACAGCATGACGGAAGCGTGGGCCATCAGGAAAGTGTCCCAGTGCCCTCCACTCAACCTGCTTCACCAGCCCCACAGCACTGAGGTAGCGGTCTGCAAACCAGAGGTGTCTGCTGGGCTTCCGGGCAGTCAGGTTACCCTTTACTTTGTCTCCACCACAAACCACCAACACCTCTTGCAAGGAACGTACCCGGCATGGCAGCTGGGCCGTGGGGGTGAAACTTGCTACCATGAGCTCGCGAAGGACCTTTGGGTCAGCTACCCCTGCAGTCACAGATGGGACCTTCTTCAGCTCCAGGCTGGACATGAGGGCAAAGCGAACAGATGACAGGATCTCTTTGGCTATATCCTCCTGGCCATCTCCATTGGCCATAAGCCACCGAGATGCTGCCTCCAAGGCTTCCAGTTCATGGAGGACATTGAGACCATCGGAGCGGAGGAGGCGGATGAGAAGATGTGCAGGAAGATCCAGGAAGGCTGGTGTAACCACCACACAGGGAAAGGTGGCCAAGATGTAGTTCTCTGCTACATGGACCACCTCATCCAACCCATAGGCCACAGCAAAGGCCAGCACGTCAGGGACAGTTTCTGGGGTCAGGCCATGGGTGAAAACATCCAGGCAGAGAGTGAGGAGCCCCCAGGCCTGGTAGCGCAGGGAGGTCTCAGCTGCCTCCAAGACCATGGGCCATGGCCCTGCTACAGCTCCTGTGTAGGCAAAGGAGAGGAGGAGACGCAGCTCGGCTGGCGACAGCCCCGTGACCAGAGGGTCAGCAGGGTCATGGGTGGCTTCTCGCATGGGGCAGGTGAAAAGGGCCCGGAAGAAGTCACAGGAGCAGCTCAGGGCCAGTCGCTGAACTAGGAGGAAGGAGGAATAATGATGTCAAGCAGCAGGGAACCCTCTGCAGTGTGCAGCCCCTGGAACTCAGGTGTCCTGGTCCCATGCCCATTAAAGTCCCAGCTCTGCCAAAGGGAGCAGCCCTGCGGGCACCTCTAGAGCCTGATCCCCACCTGGAGCTGCAGTCTTATCACCCCCACCAGAGGACTTGGCTGTCCCAGAGCACCCTGTCCCACTCCTCAACCCTTCATAGGGACCCCCACCTCCTGCCCACCTGAGATGACCTCATTCCCTGCCTGGAGCTGGAGGTCACAGCCCACACCATTGGTATGGAGCTGCTCCATGGCTCTTAGTGTTTCCCACTGTTCCTCCAGGGGCTTAGGACCTTCTTCCTGGTGGTCAATCTCCAGACGCAGGGCACAGGCAGCCACCAGCCGGGGGGCACCCAGGGCCCGAGCAGCCTCTTCCACCTCCTTCACCTGGCCATGGGGCACAATTCCCCCATAGGCAAAGGTGAGCACAGCCCGCCAGCCCCACAGTGTGGCCCCAGGCGGCAGGGGGACATGGGGGAGAGGATCTTGGCAGAGTTGTCTGGTCCTGCCCTCCAGGAAGCGGTGGAAGAAGGAGCTGATGGAGGCCAGGACCACAGCATGGGCCATGTCACCCTCTGGGCCTACAGTCACATCCACCAGCTGTCCTGCGGTGCGGAGATGGTCAGCCACAGACAGGAAGTGTCCAGCATGAGCCCCATCCTGCAGGTTCCACTGGTCTGGGGCCGGCCCCTCTGCAACCCACATCTCGCCTGTGGAAACACATGGAACAGGGTGTCAAGGAGCTGTCTTACAGCTGGAGCCTCTGGCCCATGGCAGGAGTACTAGTTGGGGACATGGGGTCTTGCTACTGGCACTGCCACATAGCAAAGTCACCGGATCCACCACCAAAGCCTCTCTACCCCACAGCCAGGGCCACCATGCTCTGCTACTGCTCCATTACTATATTTGATGCTTCTTGGCAAAACTGCAGCTCCACAGGTGAGAACATCCCATTTCACTGCCCCATAGCTGAGCTTGATCTCACCTGCTTTATCTCCGAACCCTTAGCATGAAGCTACTGACCCACAGCCAATGCTGCTGCCCCACATAGCTCAGGCCACTGTCATCACTCAGAGCTTCAGTCCTATAGCACACACAACCACACCCTTCCTCAGCCATTGCCCCATAGCTGAAACTACTGATGGTCCAACAAGTAACCAAGCTGCTGGCTCCCACTAAAGCGTCTGCCACTCCTGCTCGGTGCATGACAGTGCCTGTCGTGTCTCACACTGTCTGTCTGTCACACATTGTGATGTGTTATCCTGCAATGCTGTCTGCAATGTCACATGTCATGCTCCCCTGCACTGCATACTGTTGAGGTGTGCTGACTATCATATTACTGCCACCCCTTGCCCCCACCCTGTTGCTTGTCCTTGCTCAGGCCATGCACTGCAGCCCCATGAAGCGCTTGCTGTATTCCGTGCTCCTGCATTACTGTGTGGCCTGTTAGGCTGTGCCATGCACTTGTCCCCCTTACCGCCTGCTGCTGCTCTGCAGAACTTCTGTGACCCCCTAGGAATGTGCCCGGGTAATTATAGACTGGACAGAACACGTGGCCCCAGCCAGGAGCCGGGAGAGGCTCAGGCAGAGGGAGGTCCAAGGCCCCAGAGTCCCCAGGCGGGGACAGTGGTCACTGAATTCTCTGAGGACAGGCAGCAGGGCCAGCTGAAGCTGACAGGAGCTCTGTAAACCCTGTGCTACCCTGGGCAGGTACTGCTGGGGACCCCTGGCCCCTCAGGCCCCTCTATAAACCTTGATCTTCTCCAGAGCACAGGGTGAAGTAGAGCCCCCTCCCAAGCCTTCGGGTAGGAAACAGACAATTGCCTACTCCCTCACCCCCATTACAGGGTAGAGAGGTCCACCACCACCTGCTGTGCTCCTGAGAGCTGTGCTGGGCTACTGACTCCCAAACAGCTGGGTGTCTCAGCTCCAGGAGGATACCAGCCCCTTGGCTCAGCCTCAAGTGCCCCCAGGAGCACCCCGCAAACACCCAGGACCCCAGCAGCCCACACAGAGCACATACCAGAGGAACACAGCCTGCCATGGCTGCGACTGTGTCTCAGTATCACCATCCCTCCCTCTGATGTCCTCTGGTGCCCCAATCTCATCTTGTCCCCTCCCCCATGCACCTGCGTCTCCCATGTCCACATTCCCTGTCTCTGTAACTCATGCACCCATCTCTGTACCACACTGTTCCCACATGTCCAGTTGAATTCTGTGTCCCCAAAAATGTTCTCATCCTCTACAAGTCCATTTTTCAGCAATTACCTATCCTGTGTGATTTTTTTTCTATCTAGTTAGAATTTCCCTATCTTGTTATTTCCCATCCTTCACTGCACACCTGAGCCTCCACTTTTTGTAGCCACTAAGTAGTGAAAAAGTCCTATCACATCAAATCTTGACCTTTTCTCCAGGAAAAATGATCCAGTTCTCACCTCTCTTTGCACATCCTGTGCCTCCATGCTCTCCATCTCTGTAGTGTGTTTGCAGGACACACTTGTTTGTTAATAGAAAAGTCAACCAGATATACCTATAAGGTACCTGCTCCAGTTCTCAGCTGGCATTCAGGGGTCCCTTCCAGCCTCAGATATTCCTCACTTTCAACCCTGAAGCACTTAGCTCTAGACCTCCTGAAATGCTTTTTGGAGAAAGACTCCAGGCTCTCACATTGTGAGCAACCCAAGACTTCTTCCTTACCCCACCTTCCCTATCTTCAGCTCAGAGCCAAGCACTTCTTCAGAAGCTTTCGCTCCAGACCCTTACTGATGGGCTCAGTGCATGTAATTCCACACCTTGTCAAGAAGCCCCACTTAACTACAAGAACCTAAAGCTACAGGAGCTCACCGAAGCTACAGCATAGTGCTCACACTTGAGCACACAGTACTGAGACATGGAGGCAAAGTAACTTGTGCACAGAAATCGCACCTAGACCAGAACATGCTGCTTCCTCTTCAGCAGCTCCAGCCTTTCTGCACCTCAGTCCAGATGCCGGGAAAAAGCCGCATGACACCACCACGTTGTGACAACTGCTGATTGGACCAAATCTTTATTACATGACGTCCTAAGTACATACAGCATTTGGAAGCCAGCTCACAGAGGGAAAGGTGACATTCACAGCTTGGGAGGTCCTGTCAGTCTCCAGCCCTCCTTGTTACCGATCTTCATGAGAGCTGCAGTGATTCCAAACCCCAGGCATGCTGTGGTGCCAGTGAGGTAACTGTGAGCTGAAGAAAACACATCAAACCAGAAAAGATCCATTAAGGCACAAGTCCTTTGCAATACGTCTTGATAGACTGCCGTTTTTCATAACCTTTGACCATCAGCAACATTGTTTCGCCAGAGGAATTGGAAAAGTGACCTTTTTATAAAATTGAGTTCTCATGCTTATGGCATGCAATTTGAAATACCAATTTCAGTAATCCACTGCCCCATCCCCTTAAGTGGCAATCTTAAATGGCTCATTTGAGTGACAAAAACAGCAATCACTGCTTTGAAATCTCATCAGCTCACAACCAGGACAAGTAAAAATTAATTATATTTCACCACAGTTACAACTTTAAAAAAATCCCTCACTTCTTTGGGTTGGAGGATGAATGTCTAAAGAAAACAGAATTGTGTCAGTATCTGCAGGAGCTGTTTAAGCCTTACAAAGGGCTACAGGAGCAACAGCAGCAGGACACAGTTTGTCCCTCAGACTATGCGACGAATTCACAAGGCAAATACTAATTCTACTTGCTGTCTAAAATAAATCACGCTTGTTGCCAAGAAAACGTGGATTTCAACAACCATGTTTTTCCTATCCTGCAATTTTAAGGTACAAGCAGTAGCTGTAACTGCCAGTACTGAGTGAGCTCTCCTTTCATTCTGTATATTAGTTCATGTCCCGTTTTGTATCCTCTCCTCCCGCAGCCATATTTATTTTAGCAGGCCCACACAATACCAATGAAACTGGCATGAACAGAGGCTGAGATGAATCATTACCAAAGAAGCCTGACATCAACATTCTTTAACATTTTTCCCCAATTGAAAAGTTTCTAAAGCCAGCAAAGGGCACATTTCAATGCAGGCATTGTCCAGAGTTACCTCTCGCTCCCAAGACAGCTCCTGATGCACAGCCGCCTATGAAATAGTTCAAAGGATCCTCTGGCTCTTCCCGGACTTGGGCACTGAGACAGGTACTTAAGCCAAACACAGCTCCCAGTGTAGCTGTAAAGAAGTAAAAAAACAAAATAAAAATCCTCAAGGACCAGAGAATTCACACTGAGCACGACTTCAATATTCACAGTGACTACAATGGCAAATGAAGATCCATTTCCCAGGGACATCCTAGCCCAGATGCTACAGTGAGACTCAGCATTCACTCAGTCCCACTCAGCTTCCCTGGGTTTCTCTCCCTGCGCTGCTCTGAGCTGGAGCCTCAGAGCACCCCACACCCACTGCCCCCAAAGAGCACCACATGCTGACAGGCTATCACCTAACAGCCCTTCCCAACAAGGCATGGCGCAGCCCTGACAGCTGGGGGTAATGGAGGGGAGCAGTGGTGTCTGTGCAGCCACTTCCCCAGCTTTGCCTGGACTCTGCACTGTAACTCAGCCCTCAAGTCCCTGTGAAGCCACCTCACAGCACCAGGCAGAGCAACCCCAAGGGCTCTGTACACTGCTAGTCCTGGCACTTTCCTCCTCTGCCCGCCTGGGGCTCACAATGATTACTGGATAGCAGGAAAATGAATTGAGTTTGTAAATTATTCTTGCTTGTAAACTGACTTTGAAATGAAAAATTTTGAATTGAACTAAGAAACTGCAAAGTAGAAGCACCCTGTCCATTGAATTACACACTTCGTCCCATCAGACCCTACACTGATATAACTGCAAACTTTGGCAAAGAGCTGTGTCAAGAAAAGCTGGGTTTGTATCTAGTATAAACTCTTGATCGTGAAACATGAATCTGTCTACGAGGCAGCATCTGCAGATTTCAATTCGCCTTTCTTGGGAACAACAAAAGTATCCAGGTTAAAAATTTTCAATCCCTACATAAAACTAGCAGCTCCTGTTACAAACCTATGCAGAAAATGAATTATGCTGATGCCAAAATCAACTGAAAAGAGCACTGCAGAAACAAAACCCCCAGACCTAGGACTGCATTTCAACTTTCCTGCTCTCCCTGCTTTGAACCAAGGCATCTGTAGGCAAAATGCACAGCCTGAGGCCATGAGGTGTGGCTCCTGAACAGCAGGCAGGACAAACCCTTCCTCAGGTATGAAACTGAGGACCCAATATGCTTGTTTAGGATTAAGGGATTTATTGAAATCACAGTTGATTACATGATCCAGTGCCTTCATAACGACCTCAGCTCATTAGAGGATATGCCAGATCCTGGTTTAGAGTCAAACTACTCAAAAATGCAAACCTGGACTGACTGTGCCCCATCTCTGAGCACCAGCACTTAGGGAGAGGCAGAGGTGGCACAAACCATTCAATTAGACTGAAAAGCAAAAGTATGCTAAGAGGAAAACTGCACTTGACAAGGGACAGAGGGAGCTTCAACCATGCAGCCCCTTCAGCTTCGTGCTCCTCTCTTCAGCATCCACTTCCTCTTCCAAAGACAATTCAAGACAACTGCATAGTTTCTCCTTGTCTATAGAACATGACGGGGGAAACCCCACGTTTATTTTCCTTCTGCCACCAAAAATACTGCATTGCTCTTTAGCAAATGCACTTTATTAAATACAATACCTAAATATATTAAGCAAAAATCTAAATTTGCTCATACTATGTTGCTGCCCACAAACTGAGTATTCTAAAAATACAAAAAACACAATGTACCTTTTACTCTAGATTGCAAAAAATATGTTACCTCACCTGCAAATCAAGGATATGTCTTTCCATTTCACTGCTCTGCCTCTTGCCTAAACAACGACCCAAGCCCGGTGGAAGTGAGAACCACCGAAACCGTGCAGAGGCAGAGGCAAAGGCAAAAGTGAGGGCGCAGCCACACCAGGCGCAAGCGAGGCTGGCGTCCCTGCGGAGTTCCGTCCTAGAGTTACACTGCCGAGGGGCCCGGCCCTTACCCATCGTGACACTGTCCGCCGCCGCAGTCTGCAGTGCGGCCAGAG